ACTTCTGAAATGAGAAATGCAGCTGAAATCAGTCCAGCAATTAAAGAGACCACAGAAACAGTCCAGCAACAATCCAACAATTAAAAGAACCACATACCAACCAATTACAGCACTTACCTATGACAAAGGGGATCACACACCCCTATACAGCACCTGTACGAAGGTGCAAACCGAGAGAAAAGGCCTTCACAGCATCGGCCAAAGGAAAAGGAAGCCTTCACAGCATCAGCCCTCTCCTACTAGGGTTACCTTGGTGCTATGACCAAGGAAGAACCCAGAAAAACCAGTAACAGGGTGATCTGACCAATCTGGTTAGGGTTTCTTGCCTTCACTGTCCAAGAAATCAGGAAAAACTGGGAATGTGTGATTCAGAGGAGAGAAAGGATTCATATAGGCCAGAATTGAGCTCCAATACCATGTTTTCTTTCTAGGAGAGAAAGAGAAGAGAGAGGAGAGGAGAGGAGAGAAGACGGAAGAGAAGAGAAGAAAGAGAAAGAAATCTGTTTCGAGAGTCAAAAGTTTTGGCTGGCGGTGCCCAGCTTCTTATTTATAATAGCATGGAGTAATTAAAAGAAAATAAAATTACAAACATGTCCCTAGCGGCACACCCTAATAATAAAATAATTAAAACAAGAAAAGAACATGCTGATGAAGGGAAGGGAGATCCATCATATGGATGGCCGAACCATGCAGGGTGGTTGGGCGAAATTTGAAAATTTTTCTTTCTCCCTTCCAGGAATCCTATTCCCTGATTTAGAAAAACAGCATTTTTCAAGGTTCGTTCTTGAAACAAACTGGACCAGATCTGTAACCAAGATTAAGGGAGGGATATACCTTATACAAAATCCACAAAAGTAGCTCCCAACGTAGGTGTTCACGCCCAAAGAGGTCGCCAAATCCCACCTCCACTGAATATGACAGCTTAGGATGAGGTAGGATCAGCAAAGCAATTCTTCAGCAAGAATTGCAATCCTTCAGCAAGGATCACGCAAGGGATGTGAGCACAACTTCAGATCTGATTCTTCTGGCAAGAATCTGAATCAAGAACTATTCTTGATCAGTCCAAGAATATGGAGATCGAACTGGGTAGGGCGGCAAGAACAAAGAGAAGATCTGGATTCAGCACGTGTTTAATAAAAGGATTTCTCCCTCTATTTATAACTTCTCTGGATCAGCTTTCTAATCCTATCAGGAAAGGGTTCTCTTTGATCCAAATCTTTATTTGGATCTGAACTCTTAAGTGGATAAGACATATCTTATCCTCTTGCTGATCCAGAAGCAGATCTAAACTCAAATTTGCCCACTTTTAATTAATCTCATTAACCCAGTTCGAGTTGGGTTTTAGGCCCATTAAGTTATCAGGCTCACTTTCCTTTTAATTTGCTAGCTAACTTAGCTCTCTTTGTATGGCGTGGGACCCTAACATTGATCTCCACAAAAGTCATATGGGTTCAGCTTAGCCTCTGTTACAAGGCTTGGTCGAATTCACTACTGAAGACAGTGAACCCTTGAGCCCATCAGTATGGGCTCTTAGCAGGCCCAACATTTACACTAAATGGTCCTTGGGTCCAGCCACCTTATGAAGGCCCAAGGACTAAGGACTTAAGTGAGATTAACCCATCAGGTTTATAAGCCCTAAATGGTTTTACACTTAACCTCTCAGCCCATAATGATCAAACACTGCCCGATAAGAGAGGACCTCTCATTCGACTGCAAGGTATAGTGTCGCACTCTCTACTCACATGGATCTCGGGAATTAAAACATTTTTGCAAACCTTTTCATAAAACATAATATATGTATATCTATATAAATATATTTTGCAAAACAAATCTCAAACACGTTTGAAATCAACTGCCAGCAGTTTAGGTTTCCATCAGAGAGAGTGTTGTCCCCGATCATTCACTTTGTCCGACAAAGGGGCTGATTCTGTCACTATGATCCCACTTAGGTGAATTCTCAGACTACCCCAACATACCTAGGTTTTGACCCCCACTAAGTATCTCACTGATTGGCATATCAAAGACAGCTCAATCCAACACCTAGTGCAATACCATAATCGAGTCTAGGGGTTAAGTGTAAGTTTCCAGTTTTGCCCATCTGTCTCCAAGGTCCAGGGCATAACTGGAAAATGGTTCGGTTTAGGGTTTCAAGTAAACCCACACTACATGTGCTTCGGGTCTCACCCTGGCAGCTGAGACAAGCCACCCCAATCGACTTGGCAGCACATTAGTGTCAGTCTTGGTAGGATAAACCTCCCCAGGTCTATCCAGCAGCTGTGAAGATTCTAAACTAACACGAGTCTCATAAGTGTCCAGTTTAAAGGTATTACATAGAAACACACTATATATAATATGAATCAATTATGTACTATTATTCATTTACAATAAATGTCAAAAGTACATCAATCTGATTGGAGCTAAGGGCATACACTGTCTAACAACTGATAGCACCCTAACATCAAAAACAAAGAACAACTCTAACAACAATCCCCAACCATGGCATCTACTGAAAAATCTTTTAGCTCCTCTCAAGTAAGTATTCATTGTGCAACTCTGATGGTAATCAAATCAGTCGCTGACTATATCAAGGTGGAGGATTCGTTAGAGAATATTTCCCAAATGCTCTATAAGATTGCATTGCTGCCCTCATATATTTGCATGTGATCTAACCCCCCCCCCCCCTTTTGTGGAGCTAGAAGAGCTAGGGGCAGACTGAAAAGGACTTGGGTGTAAGTAATTAGAATTGATCTAAGTGCCCATAATTTAACAACTGATATGGCACAGAACAGAACAGAATGGAAAAACAAGATTCATGTAGCTAACCCCATATAGTTGAGACAAAGCTTAGATGATTATGATGATGATCTACCCCATTTTGCACCAGGAAGAGAAAAGACCAATGTCAAAACAAAAGTGGGGACTCATCCAGTAGCTGCCACTGGGATTCAAAAAGGAGCATACAATTGTCCCATAACTTTATGCAAACTCACAACCAAGAAACAAGTGACTAACAATTTTCTTCTAATATGCTAAAGAAATTTCCATCAAAAAAAATTACAAACTGAATACATTTAAGAATGTGATGACATGTCACTTCACCAAACAACCAAGAAAAAAAATAAAGGAATGTATCCAGAAGCAAAACCAAAAACATCATAATCTTCTAAGAGATCAAAGATAGACCAAAAATCTGAGCCAAACGAAAACTTAATTAACATATTCAAACTCCAGATGCACTAAAAACTTGTCCATGACAAGCTATATCAGCCACTAATCTTCTATTATCATTCCTTTTCTCCTTCAAAATTCTTCTTCTTCTCTCAAATCCTATACCTCAACAAACTGTGAAGTTACAATGCTGTATCCATTCCAGTATTAGCTCTCTTGCCAACAGAAAAAACAAGAGCACATAGAGATGATATCACATGGATTAACTAATCTACATGTAGGTTTTCTAAAAAGAGCAAAGAAATACAATCATCCTGCAGTGGATAAGAAAACAATGCACATACTCCTCAATGACTACTATAAAGCAAAGGCTAACCAACTGAAAATCGCTTGATTTCAAATGATAAATAGTTGAAATGCTGTCCAAACATGCTGACTGAGCAAGTTGCTCCACCCTAGGTGGGATTGGATTTCCCCCAAACTCCATGACATGAGAATATTCCTCCTGATGTCATATGATAGAATCATAAAAGGACTTTTTCATAGAGCAACCATTTATACATTCTTTCAACCATCTAACATGCAGAGAAGAAGGACAAGTCTTTGAAGCTTCAATCTGTTGAATAAATTGATAGACTCCACTTCTCTATCAAACAAAGGTCTTTTGAAAGTTGGAAAACAACCAACGTGTTCATTCCTTACTTAAAAGTATTGATTTCAGTTTTTTATCACTCACCCYATACAACCTTTAGTATAAGTCAAATTGAAGTCCTCTACAAAGTTTCTCTCTCTATCTCAAACTTCCGAACTCATTTCCCTAAGTGAATTTTATATATAGCTCTTTTTTCTTCTAATCGCTATATGATGCAAATATGGAAACAAAGAAAGAAATTGAAAAAAAAAAGATGATCAGATGGTAGACCCACAAAATGCATCATCAACTGGAAAACTGGAAAAGAATTGACTGATTGACTAGTCAAACCTTGTTCAATTTGGCTGAAATTTGGTGGCACTAAAGTACACTCATAGTACTGAAGTACTTAAAATTTACAGCTAAATCAAACTGTGGAAGTGCCCCAACTAAAGGCTTCAAGATGACTGATTTAGTGATTTTCCAGTTCTGCAAGTAATGGTCAAAGTGAAAACTGACAAGTTGACCAGTGGACTCCACTGACATTTATGGTAATTCCCATGATTACTATTTATAGTAGTTATCATAATTTTTATTTATAGTGAAAATTACTGTTTCAGTGTTAACTCATTGCTTTTGTAATTAGGTTGGGAAGCTTTGGTTTTTGTTCATCCTTCTTGTACACCCCCCCCCCTTTTGAATGAAAGTAACCTTTAAAAAAAAAGTTTCTATTTTTTCGAAGTATGAATAGGAGTTAGAGTCTAAGATCTAGTTGGAAGTTTCTAAGGTAAAATTTTCTTCCTTCACCACCTCCAACCAAAGAGAATCTCTTTGGACTTTCGCAATCTTTTCAGCCATAGCCACCAGACCTTTGACTTAGTTTGTCTACCCAAATAGGTTTTATCTATAGAATTTTTGGCTGAATTAAGAACATTACAGTTCAATAAGCATCTATTGGTTTGATTGACTAGAACCATGTTATAGGGAGATAATTTGACTCAACAAACCGAATAGACATGGCCTATTGGTGTGTGTGTTGTCCTGCAACCTGTTGATGAAAGTTCAAGTCTCCTTTATTTGCAGTCCTTTACCTATCAAAATAATAATAATAATAATAATAATAATAATAATAATAATAATGATGATGATGATGATGATGTATGAATTTTAGACAAAGAGCCACCAAGAAGAGGAATAATACCTTTTGAAAAAGCACCCACGCGTATAGTGCATCATGAATCCTCTCAGTGATGCCTAAAGTAGACCAGGTCAATCTGATAAACCTAAGGATTTCATCCACCTCCTAATATAGATTCCAACATTATTAGGAGTTGGTCATATCAACAAATAGGATAGCAAAGTTTTCAACTGAAGAATAAGGAAAATAAGATATACCTCTACAAGTTGACCATCCTCAAGAATATCAAAAACACTACAGAGTAATTTTTCATATAGCTTAAGGTTCAAATGATAGTCAGCTGTCCAATAATAGGTTTCACCCGTAATACCAAACTTCCCAGGGACTAATGACAACTTTGATGTGAACTTCTGAATAGCTAGTAGTGCTTCAGAAAATTCAGAGGGCATTTTTACATTCCACTCCTATAGCATAGAATAAGAAGAAAATTCGTTATTTGCAGAAAGAATGAACTAAGAGAAAGCAAGTAACCAAACATTATTTTATGATATAGTTCCTCTCTATGACAATATTGCAGCCAAGAGGACATAAGCTAAAAATCCAACCCAATTTACTTCAATGAAGATCCAAACTTGTACTATTATTAATGATCCTTAACATAGAAACAAATCTACACAAAAAAGTTCCCTTCCATGACAATTTACAAAATCTACACAAAATGATGTACCTCAGTATTTCTGACTTTTGCAAGAAAACTTCTAATGGTCATATGTTCAGCTGCTGTATGGGTAGCAGAATAATATAGAATTTCTTCAAGAATATTTGCCTGTGAGAAAATAGTAATAACAGATCTGTAGATTTAAGAGCCTGGGATGAGTTACAAGAAAAGTAATGTTTAGTGTTGATCACCTGTCTCTTCCTCCACTGCTTGTATGACTTTTCAATAAGAAAGTCACTCTTAAAAATTCCATTTAAAAGCTCCAATGATATTTGAGGGACATCAATTGGTCTTGTTCTTGAAGTGAAGACCAACAACCTTTGCTTAATGCAAGTGTCCATAGCTTCAGAAACCTAGGAAGGAAAAACAAATCTAATTGAAAGAAAGAACAGAAAAATCAACAGGAAAATATAGTCACACTCATAAAGCAGTACAAGGCAAATAAAAAACAAGAAATAGAGAGAGATAAATCATTTGCTGTAAGTTTATCAATTCTTTGTGTAGAGGAGATGGGCCGAATGGCCCATAGACTGTTATTTCATGTTATGTTTATGTTTCCCTCTGTAATGGGCCTTATTCTGGGCCCATACTCTCTAATGTTCTGTTTTTGTAATTTCTTGCCCACTCAAGGGCCTCTCTGTAATATTTCAAAGATTAACTTAATAAAATGTTTAGAGTGTTAGAGGGAGGTTTAGTTCGAACCTCTCACTCTCTAACTCCCATTGCCGCCAGCTCTCTCTCTCTCTCAACTTCTTAATCTTCTCTTGTTCATTTTTCTGGTTTTGCATCTAACCTCAAACAGTCCTATACTTCAAGAGGACTGTTTTCAACTCTTTGCAACAAGAATCCATGGGTGGACCTATCAAAGTAAACTGCATGGAAGAAATTACACAAAAGGAAGACAAAGGACCACAAGAACAAGAGGAAATAGAAGTTAAGATAAAAATTAGCTTCAAATATCTTCAATGAAGCTCAAGTACAACTGTACTTCCATAGAATGCTTTTACATCTTAGATTCAAAGATCTCCAGTGGCAATATTTTACTATTAGTGAGAAACTAAATGATTGCCAGCACCAACTTATCCATTCAGAATTTTTGCTATTTTTTGGGTAATGAACTATTGAGCTAATTAATGCTCAACACAGAAGTTTCTTTGAGGGGACTTAACCTCCTRACACAGAAGAGAGAGAAAGAGAGAGAGAGTTGAGGGAGATTCTTCTTGTTGTTGACAGTTTATCTTTATTTTTATGTTTTTTATTATTATTATTTATTGTTAGGTCTAGGCTGTGAACCATTATCTTTATTGTTTATAGTGGTTCTAGTTATAGCCGCCTAAGTGGGGGCATTATTGTCCTTGTACACAACTTTATATTTTTGACATAAATATTATAGTGGCCAGAACACTTTTGGCACCCCTTTCTCTTCCTCAATAACTTTCTGCTTCTTTTTTCACTTTCTTCTCTTAATTTTCTTTATTTCTATTTTCTACTTGGTATCAGAGCCTCTTTTAGGGCTTCCCAAGGGAGATTCCATGCAGTTTTGAGATCATCCAACTACAGGGAAGCTTAGAAGGTTGATCAATTTAGTCTAGAAAGCCCAATTCTTGGATTTTTTAGAGGGTGGATGTCTAGTGCTGGTTGTTGAATGACAGACCAAAACCAAAAAGAACTGGAGAGAGAAGGTGCCCTACAAGGTCTTGGCTAGGGTTTTTCAACCTACGAGTGCAGCAGTTGAGGTTTTTCCAATTCCTAGAAGTTATACTAGGGTGATTCATCCTGAAGCAATTTCTTGTGCATTTGGTGAGATTGAAACCCTAGCCTACAATTTCTATCACACCCAAAAGAATCTAGAACTGTCAAGGTCAGTTTTTTTTTCAGATAGTGTGTTTACACTTCTAAAGAACATCGATTTATCTAGTGTTGTTACTGGAGAGATCACTTGGCTAATCTCCCCTTCATAGGGTTCCTGCGTTGGTCTTGGCTTACCAATTTTTGACTTTGGACCAAATTGATTGGGTCTAGGAAGTTTTCTATTGTTATCTCTTGGTGTTTTTGGTATTTTGAAGCATTATGGATGTCAATGTTTTAAAAGCAACCCAGAGGCCAAACCTTTTTTGCCTCCAAGTTGCAGGTCACTAGTTTGATCGTCTAGGTCGAACAAGTCAAACCGTGCCACGTCAACACATTTTATCAATAAATATTGTATAATTATATTATACATGTAATATATGCATTATTTTATATTAAATTTATATTTTTGAATTTAGTTTTTAATGTTTTATTTGAAAAAATGCTAAAATTGTGATTTAAGGCCAAAAAGAGGTTTTTTGGTGAAAATAGTGGGGCAAGGCACCTTTGGGGCATGCCGCCTTGGGACACAGATCTCAAAAAGTTAACCAAAATAAATAAATAAAAAAGATCACCCCAATCAGGTCCTTCTCAAAGTACTCTCTAGCATTATCTGATCTAAAAGCCTTAGTTCTCACTCCAAATTGTGTGAGAACCATCTGGTGGAACTATCGTACCAAATTAGGAACCTCATCACGTGATCTCATCAAATATATCYAAGAATATCGTGTATAGTCATCCACAAACAAGAGAAAGTAACGGAATCCTCCCATGGAAGGGATATGATATGACCCCCATACATCGGTGTGAACAATATTAAAAGTGGTATTTCTTTTATTACTTGGTATAAAAGACTCTCTACAATGCTTTCCTAACTGACAACTCTCACACTCCAAAGTAGACAACTGAACAGACTCCAACAACTTTGGGAAAAGACATTTCAAAGAACTAAAAGAAAGATGTCCCAAGCGATTGTGCCAAAGCATAATCTGGTTCACTGACTCTGACCCACTACTACTGTTGCTGCTAACATGATGGCCCTGATGTCTCGAAATCTCATCCAGAAGGTAGACTCTATTCACCTCACGAGCACTCCCAATCATCTTCTTTGACTCCTGATCCTGCAAAACACAATTACCAGGAAGAAAGGTCATGGAACAATTCAATTTTTTTGTCAAAGAACTAACAGACAATAGGTTGGTATGAAGTCTAGAGACATGTAAAACAAAAGGCAAAGTTATATCATCGGTCACTCTAACTGTCCCCTTCCCAGCAATGGGCATATGTGAACCATCTGCTATAAAAACCCTATCTCTACCATAGCACAATTGATAGGAACTGAAAAGGGAAGGGGCATTAGTCATGTGCTCAGATGCTCCTGAGTCTATAATCCAGTGAGGTCCCTCCTTAACTGAAGTGGATGCAATATTTGCAGTCGCATATGAACTACCTATATGTGCAAAGGAAGTGGTGTAGTTGGCTCCTGCATTCTGCTGTCCATCTGGAAGGCTAGAGCTAGGTGAATCTTTCTTACTCATAAGCTGTCCAAACCTCTCCAATTCCGTTCTCATTGCTACTACGGCAATGGATTCCCAATCAGTTTGGGAAAGAGGGGNTTTCCTTTTCATATTGTGCACTCTGATGTGTGGGGGCCTTACCACTTATCTTCTATGGGGGTTACAGATATTCCATCATGTTTATTGATAACTTTTCTAGATTCACTTGGATATACTTAATGAAATCCCGTGATGAAGTCCCAAGACTTGTGAGGCAATTTCATGAGCTTGTTTTAACCCAATTTGATACCAGAATTAAAGTTCTCAGATCTGACAATGCAAAAGAGTACTTTGAAAAGAGTTTATCCTTGTATCTCTCTGACATGGGGGTTATTCATCAAATCTCTTGTGTTAGAACCCCTGAACAAAATGGAGTTGTTGAAAGGAAAAATAGACATATTGTTGAAGTTGCAAGAAGCCTTTTATTTGCCTCACATGTTCCTACAAGATTTTGGGGGGATGTTGTTCTTACTGCTACCTATTATTAACCGTATTCCATCCAGGGTTTTAGGGTTTAAATCCCCCTTCAATCTTCTTCATCCAGACAGGGATCTTTTTCTTATTCCTCTTTGTGTGTTTGGCTGTACTTGTTATGTTCACATTCCAAGTGCCCAGAGGCATAAGTTTGAACCAAAAGCCCACAAGTGCATCTTCCTTGATTATTCCCCCACACAAAAGGGTTATTGTTGTTTTGATCCAAAGACTGGCACTCGACATGTCTCTATGGATGTTACCTTTGATGAGCTTTCTCCTTTTTATGGTTCCTCTCAGGAAGGACATTGTCAACAGGGGGAGAGTTT